TACTACTAGTAACAAGAAGCTACTAGGAGCAAAGGGCATCGCTACTAGGAGCAAGGACGCTACTAGGGGCTCCTGGCCCTACTAGTAACAAGAAGCTACTAGGACCTAGAAGAAAGGGCCATCGCTACTAGGAGAAAGGACGCTACTAGGGGCTCCTGGCCGTACTACTAGTAACAAGAAGCTACTAGGAGCAAAGGGCATCGATACTGGGAGCAGCAAGGACGCTACTAGAGGCTCCTGGCCGTACTACTAACAAGAAGCTACTAGGAGCAAAGGGCATCGCTACTAGGAGCAACGGCGCTACTAGGGGCTCCTGGCCGTACTACTAGTAACAAGAAGCTACTAGGAGCCAAGGGCATCGCTACTAGGAGCAAGGACGCTACTAGGGGCTCCTGGCCGTACTACTAGTAACAAGAAGCTACTAGGAGCAAAGGGCATCGCTACTAGGAGCAACGGCGCTACTAGGGGCTCCTGGCCGTACTACTAGTAACAAGAAGCTACTAGGAGCAAAGGGCATCGCTACTAGGAGCAAAAAGCTACTAGGGGCTCCTGGCCTTACTACTAGTATCAAGAAGCTACTAGGAGCAAAGGGCATCGCTACTAGGAGCAAGGACGCTACTAGGAGCTCCTGGCCTTACTACTAGTAACAAGAAGCTACTAGGAGCAAAGGGCATCGCTACTAGTGGCAAGAAGCTAGTAGGAGCAAAGGGCATCGCTACTAGGAGCAAAAAGCTACTAGGGGCTCCTGGCCAGATTACTGGTAACAAGAAGCTACTAGGAGCAAAGGGCATCGCTACTAGAAGCAAGGACGCTACTAGGGGCTCCTGGCCTTGCTACTGGTTTCAAGAAGCTACTAGGAGCAAGGGGCATCGCTACTACGAGCACGGACGCTACTAGGAGCAAGAAGCCACTGGGGCTCCGGGCCTTACTACTGGTAACAAAAAGCTACTAGGAGCAAAGGGCATCGCTACTAGGAGCAAGGACGCTACTAGGGGCTCCTGTCCTGGCCCTACTACTAGTAACAAGAAGCTACCAGGAGCAAAGGGCATCGCTGCTAGGAGCAAGGACGCTACTAGGGGCTCGTGGCCTTATACTACTAGTAACAAGAAGCTACTAGGAGCAAAGGGCATCGCTACTAGGAGCAAAGGGCATCGCTACTAGGAGCAAGGAC